AAAATAAAGGTTGTAAAATATATATTTCATGCACGTAATATGAAAATAATTATTTAAATAAAAGTATTTTTATAATATACATTATATATTCTTGAAAATTATGTTCAATTATATATATATATATATATATATATATATATATATATATATATATATATATATATATATATATATTCCATGCACGACTTAACATAGCATACCTTACCTTATACAGATAGCCCCCTTGCTTTCCGGTGACATAACTTTGTGTCGTCAGAAAGTTGGTAAAAATATAATAATATAATTGAGCATAATTTTCAAGAATATATAAAGTATATTATAAAAATACCTTTATTTAAATAATTATTTTTATATTACGCGCATGGAATATATATTTTACAACCTTTATTCTCTTTGATTTTGAATTGTGTAAATAATTTTTGAATTTTTGTTGTTAATACTAAAAAGTTTGAAAAAAATAACAAGAATATAATTGTTTATAATTTAGAGGGTAAAATAGGTATTTGGCAATCCAAAATTTGGAAAATCTAGTTGAGTGACCTTCTGAGTGCAATAGGCATAGTTCAGTGACTTTGTTGTTACAAACGAAAGAAAAGTGACTTTAGGAGATAATTTGAGATAGTTGGGTGAACCATTTGAGTAATTGACTCAGCTTAAGTTGGTGTTTCAAAATTTTGCAAATATTATGTCACGACCCATCTTCCATATAGGTCATGATGGCGCCTAACACCGTTGTCAGGCCAGCCGATGCGGAATGTGATTAAGTTCTCATTTTACTTTAGCCAAAGACAGTTATACTAGATTTTCGAATTTAAAGATAAGACCAGTAAGGATCATAAAGTGCTAAAATAGCGATACAACCCCAAAATAAATGTCTACTACTGTGTGTGCCAGAACCTGGTGTCACAAGCTACGGGCGACTAGTAGAATATACACAAAAGAATAATACAATATCCTACTATCTGAATCAGGATAGACAGAAACAAAAAGTACAAGAAAGGACTTCTTCGGCTGCGGATCGGCATGAAAGAGAAGCAGCTCATCGTAGAAGTCCCCAAGCGTGCTCACTGATGCGCACCAGGATGATGTCCAGATCCACCTGCCTCAAATCCTGTACATTTAAGTACAGAAGCGTAGTATGAGTACATAAACCACATGTACTCAGTAAGTATTCCGTCTAATCTCGAAGAAGTAGAGACGAGAGGTTGACTTGATACTTACTAAGGTCAAGATAATATAATAATAAAGTGAGATATACAGCATGAAGAATTTCCAATAACACAAGTTTAAGAGAAGAGTCATATTCATGTTCTTGACATAATTAAACTACCAGTCTTCCCTTTTTCGTATTAAACAAGTGATCATGTCATATCTAAACGTAAGCATATAAATCATACACAATCATGCCGAGGTCGACGGCCCGCTCCAACAGAAAATAAATTGTGCACTGCCGAGGGTCGAGCGGCACGAACCATAGATGCATCTATTATCACCGAGGCGATCGGCCCGATCCACAATCATCAAGAAAATATCAAGAAAAGCACATATGGCTCAATTATATACAAGGAAATTCCTACCAAGGCTCAACAACTCTTACGTTCACCTTTCATTTCTACCAAGTCTCTAGCAAATCAAAATGATCATATTGGCAATTTAAAATAAGAGATATTCCCCAATTAGACATGACGTGGGTCCTAAACTACCCGAACAATTATCATATAGTAGCTACGCACGGACTCTCGTCACCTAGTACGTATGTAGCCCCCGCATTTAGCAACAATTACTCATTTAAAATTCTATGGGGACAATTCCCTCTTACAAGGTTAGAAAGGAGACTCACCTCGCTCCAAAGTGCACTTCCAATGTCCAAGAACGAGCCCAAGTCCTTAATTCGAAGCCGAACAATCCCAAACTAATCAAACGAAGTAAGAACTAGTAAATAAAGGCTTACAAGGTCGAACTCTAACTATTTAGGCAATTTTCTAACCATTAACACAAGTTTCCTAAATTCTGACCCCGGGCCCACGTGCCCGGATTCCGAGATTTTTCGAAGGAAGTTGTTCTCTATCACCTAAGGATCACAAATATATGATTTCTAGTTCATTACATGGCAATTTTTTTATGATAAATTCTTAGTTTTATTAAAACCCTAGGTCTAGCTAAAATTCTTGGTTTTTACTAAATTTTTGGTGTTTAATCTACCTAATATACATGTATTTAAGCTAAGGATGAAGGGAAATTACTTACATTACCAAGTTATGTGGAAACCCTCTCTTGGAAGAACCCAAATCGCCTAAGTGTAGAGTGAAAAATGAGAGAAATGAGTTTGAGTTCGTATTAAATGAACCTTTCTGCCCCCAGTTATTTTCGCATCTGCGGAAGTATTTCCGCTTCTGCTGAATCCGCTTCTGCGGCTTTTGGGATTTGGGGCTCGACCGCTTCTGCGGTCTGGGGGCCGCATAGGCGGAACCGCTTCTGCGGTCCCTGGGCCTCTTTTGCGATTTCCCCTGGCCTGCCCCTTCTCCGCTTCTGCGATCTAATGACCGCATATGCGGTCCCGCTTCTGCGGTCCAAGAACCGCAGATGCGGTTATGACAGAAGCAGCAAGCTTCAGTCATTTTCCAATTTCTAACTTCACTCGAGCCTCGCTCGTTTGACGCTCGGGGCTCCCGTGCCCCGCCCGAACATACCGACAAGTCTGAAATCACGAGGCGGACCTACTCGAACCCTCGAAACACTCAAAACAACGCTAAATCGAGGAATCAACCCCAAAACCAAATGAATCAAATCATTGAACTTCAAGTTCTTAATTCTCCTCCAACGGGTCAAAATGCCCTTAAACTACTCGGATTGACACCAAATTTTACGGGTAGGTCTTAACTGATATTTCGGACTTGTACCAAGTTTCGGAATCGAAATCCGAACCCGATACCTAGGAAAACAATGATTTCTTAGTTTATTTAAACCTTTGAAACTTTAACTTAACAATTTCACATAAAAATTCATTACTCGGGCTAGGGACCTCGGAATTCGATTCCGGGCATATGCCCAGGTCCCATATTTTCCCATGGACCCTCAGAAATTGTCAAATCACGATTCCGGGTCCGTTTCCCCAAAATGTTGACCGAAGTCAAACTTGGCCTTTTAAAGAAACTTAAAGAAGCAACTAGGCTTATTCTTGCTCAAAACTCTTCTAAATTCCGAACCACCCGTCCCCGCAAGTCATAAATTAGCTAAAGCAAGCGCGGGAAGTCTCATTTAAGGGAACGGGGTTCAAAAATGCAAAACGACTGATCGGGTCGTTACAAAAACCTAAATCAATTCTTAAACCCAAATTATCCTACCCAAATAATTAAACTCTAATTAATAATTTACACAATTAGTTTAAAACCAAATTAAAGGAAAACTAACAAAATTCAATGCTAAAAATTAGACAATGCAAAATAAATTATTTTTTGTGATTTTTTTATTTTTGTAAAACCCTAATTACTAATTAATCTAAAATATGTAAAATTAAGTCCTAAATGCAAATGCAATATATATTTTTGTATTTTTCATTAATTAAAATGCACAAACAAAATGCAAACAATTAACAGAAAATATCACAAAAATCCGCAAAATTGCAAACACTGAAAGAAATTATTTTGTTTTGAATTTCTGGGAGTAATTCGTATAGGGCCAAAATCACGTGCTCACATTCGTGACGTAATCCTAACTCGTGGACAGCATAACTCCAGCAAATCACCCGGAAAAATCGAAGCATTTGAAATGTGCGGCCCACGGAGGGCCACGCTGCCTGTTCGCCGCAACCACCATGACCAGCGTAGCTCGCTCGATAAGCTCGACCACAAACAACATGAGCCGCTCATCGAACCCGCCCGCGAAGCCGGCCTCAATAAGCAGAGGGACTAACTGTATGGGTCAAAATCTATCTTTAGAATATTTAAGCCAATATAATACTAGGGGAAACGTTCCCAGGTCGTTGTTCGTCGAAATGATCTAAGGAGCGGCAAATTCTGTGGTATAAGAGTTAGCACGGGCTGAAGTCGAGGAGTCAACAAGGACCAAGGCCGAGGTCGAGTACTTTTGACAAATTTATAACGACTAGTTTTAAGATAGGACATTAAAGAGAATATTTTAGTGGATATTATCTGCACTTGTACTGTTAGGGTTTTTAGGAATATGTTCCCTATAAATAAAAAGAGACACAATTATAGGGGACATGTGATATTTATTTGTAAAAATACATTTTAACTTTAGAGAGAGAAAATCAGATTTCATTGCAAGCATACATACATCACCTTTTCACTAAAATTCTTGTCTACAATTTTTCACTAGATCCGAAAATAACTCAGATATTTAAAGGATTGTCTATCACTCATCATTATCAGAAAAAACATTCGCTGATTCCATCCTTTCTTGGGTGACTCATTCATTCTATTTACTTAAATGTCATTTATTATTATTCATCAATATTTAATGCTACATTATTGTCTTTGATTTCTGTAGTATTGATTATATGCTGTCTCGGCTACAATAATATACCTACCTACGTAGTATATATTGCGCTTTTAGAACTCCATCTTTGGGACATTATTGTTAGCTAAGATTAACCCTCATTTATTTAAATTTAATTAGTTGAACCAAAATTTATATTTTTTGGTCAAACAATAGAAAATCCAAGAATCAAAATTTCGAACAACTTATGATGAACTGATCGATTTATAGTAACTACCACGTGTGACATGGAGCATTTAGCTACCCGAAAAGAAAAGGAACAGAAATACTCAGTGATCTTCTATTCAACTTTCTGTGCAACTGAATAAACTTGCTTTTAATTCGTTGCTGTCAATTCCAGTTTATAGTGATTGTGATTTTCTGTTTCTAAGGCTCATTGTTGCACCGGATCGGAGGTAAGCAGACTCATCTCTTTTCTGTTTCTAGGGCTTCTTTTCAAGCGGAGCTAATTCGTAATGTTTGATTAAGAATGAGGAAGGGTTTATCTATTCAGTTACCTGGATCCATACATTCAGCATAGCTTGTGTTTACAGCAAATGAAATTTGAATTTTTTCTTTAAATCCATGTTTTAAGTAATTTATCCTATCATATATAAGCAAATTGGATAAAATAAGCCCTCGAGTGTTTGGTTGTGGTTAGATCTTTAACTGACAATTCTGAGCCGTGAAAAATAGTGCTTTAGTCATGCTGTGATTCTTTTGATGATTTCATAGATATTGAACTATATTTGTGTTGTTGATGACTATCTGTAATAAGTTTTCTCTGTTTCATTAACTTTGTCAGAGGGTGCCACATTGATTCTTATAAGAATTTTATGATTAAACTGTAATTTCTTGATAAAAATTTGATTACACTGGAATTTAACCCTTTGTCTTGTGATTTGGTTTATACTTTGATGATGAAGCTTAAGTGGTTGATTCAGATAGAGAAGGTCAAAAGTTCAAGCCTCTTCCTGACATTCTCTCTCCTTGTTCCGCTGTTTGTCACTTCCAAGTTAAGAGTCCTTGTGTACTTGATCAATAAGTTAGAGTCCTTGTGTAGTTGTATTTAAGTTTGTTGGTGAAGAGTTAACAACTGATTGCTCATGCTGGCTGCAGTGTGCCGGCTGGCATTAGGAGTTAATTGCATTAAGAGGATGACGCGAGGGTGTAGTGCACTCTCCTGCATTGTGCTGGCTGGCAATGCCCATGTAGATTCCATTTCTAGTTCAGTGTAGAAAAATGAATCCAACAGAATTGGAATTTAAACTAGGCCCTTGCTACCACTTTATTGAAAATGGAAGAAAAGAATAACACAATTCAAACGAGAAAAATTGTAAGGCACGGGGATAAAAAGGGAGACCAGCACTTAAAGCACAGAAATTACACTATGAATAACTGTACTCTTGCAAAACAACCCAGCAGACTCACATTTATATACTACTACATCAACCCTTAAACTCCTAATTACATGAACCATAAGTAATGAACATTCTAGTATGACTCAAAAGACACATCTCGAATAATGCAGAAATGCAAATTTTTTCCTTGTATAAGTAAAGGATTGATTAAAAAGGGTTTGTTAAAAGAGGTTGACTCTTGAAAAATAAAGAAATACAGTAACTATTTTGTGATGTGAGCAATAAAGGAGATCAACTCCAAGCGAGTGAGACCCTCCTCGTCCACGACGGACTGCCTAACTCTGTTGGCTAATTCTGCGGCCCTCCGCCTCATCTCATTTCCTTCTTCAGAAGCCATGAGTGTTTTTACAACTTTTTCAATGGTTGCAGACGTAACCAAATCATGTTGACGGAATTCTCCAACTTTAATACCAATTTTCAGCACATCAGTAATTAGAAAGGCATTACATGGCTGATCTGAGTGCATTGGCCAAGCTGCTATTGGAACTCCCATATTGATGCTTTCTGTGCATGAATTCCATCCGCAATGGCTTAGAAATCCACCTATTGACAAGTGCCCCAGAATCTCCAATTGGGGTGCCCAGTCTCTAACCACAATTCCTCTTGTTTTCACCATCTCTTCATACCCTTTTGGCAGGTAAACTCTCCGTTCGTCTTTGCTTGTTGAATCACTCTCATTATCTTTATCTGCAGCTCTCAGTACCCAAATGAACTTATGTTGGCTCTGCTCCAACCCAATAGCGAGCTCTTTGATTTGTTCTTCTGACAATGAAACTGATGTTCCAAATGAAACCAATATGACAGAGTTAGGGGCTTGCTTGTCAAGCCATTCCAGGCACTTATGACGATCAACATTGGAGGAGTTTCTTTCGGGAATTACCACTGGATTTAATGGACCAAGAGCCCATTGAAATTTCTCAGGGAAAAGCAACTTAACTAACTCAAAGAATTCACCTTCCACGTCCTTGCATGTATCATAGATATGTCCGGACAAGAGGTTCTGGCAACTTGCAATCTGCTTTCCTATAAAGCTCACGAAATCTGGGGAAAAACAATTGTCAGGGATTGAAAGGTCAAGCTTAAGCAGTTGAGAATCAGTTGGGACGAGTTGAGGAAGATTCTTGCCGGCTGTATGGACAAAAGTAGTAAAAGAAGAAGTGCTGTGGAAAACATAAGCCTCAGTATTGGATATAGATCGTATATCCTGAACAGCTGAAGCTGTTAGTGCGTCATGCACAACTATCAGTCTTCTAGCTTTGCGTGAGAGTTCATGTAGAATTACGCTTACAGGCTCATACAACCCTAGAGATGCATGGATTTGGTTTGTAACAATTTCTGAACGTGATTCAGCTGAAGCAGCAGCAGCAGTTGTAGTAGTAGGCATTTGCTTGGAATTTGGAGAAACATGAAATTTAGGTGCTGGGAATTCATGGAAATGGATATAGTTGGAAGTAGTAATACTATTCCAGCCATGAACCCTATGCTTGGCTTGACGAATGTGATTTTCATACCCAAGAAAATGGACAGGAATATCATAGGAGGAGATGAGGCGAGATAAGTGGAGGAGTTGATTTAGATGCCCTTGTGCTGGAAAGGGCACCATGACAACAAGCACATCGTTTATAAGAGTATTGTTAGGCATTTGATTCATTCAGTAAATCACCTTTCTGTTTATGCTATCTTTTGTGGGTTCAAGCTTCTTATAGCCTCTGCTCTTCAGCAATACTACATATATATATACATGTGTGTTTTTGCATATCTATGCGTTTTACTTGTTCTTTGGTGAAGTTTCGGGGAATCCACATCTTTTCTTTCAAAATTATTCTTTCTAGTCTATCAAAATTTAATTATATTGACAATCATATTTCCTTCTGAATTTCCTCGTTATTTCTTCCCTGAGGAACTTAGTTGGTTCTTTTTTAATAAGAAAGGGCAAATAGCTCTATTGATGACTTCTTTTCTAATGGGATTGAGATCTTTAAATTCTTGCCAGGAGGATTTGAGATCTTAAATGCATTTGTTTTACGCAATGATCAGATCCATTATGTATCAAATTATTGTTATTTATTGTGGAGTGCGGTGCATGACCTTACTAACTGTCCAGCTGCTATAAAGTTTCATTTCATGTTTTTAACTTTTGGCGGCAAATAAGACCTTCTGAATAGATGCCAACACTTTATATGTCTTTCCTTTTAATGCAAAATATTTAATTTGCTGTTGCAAAAATTTGAGACGTCTTTTAGGCTAGAGATGTAACGACACAAAGTTCTCGGGGTGATGATCGTAGTTGACGAGCTCACATGTCAAGAGAACACCATCTAACTAATTTCATCCCCCACTTAGTCAATATGTCATATACACACACAAAGGTCTTTGAATTGTGATGATGTAAATCCTAGATTAACAAGAGGTTTGTGATGTTTGTGCTGGATACAATGGAACTGATGGAATAACTATCGAGAAAAATGTGCAGCTTGTTGCTCCATTCCAAATTTAAGTATGAGATAAATTTATTCCATGTTTGGTTGGGACAAAATCGTGGTTTAACTGATAGTTATCCCGGAATTGTAGTATTTGTTTTATCCCATTGAGAGGGTGGGATAGCTAATCCCAGGATACTAATCCTGGATAATTAATCATGGGATAACTTGTTTCTCAACCAAATGACCCCTAAAAGTAAAATGAGAAGGTTAATTTAAGTCATTTTGTTTTGAAACATAGAAATAATGGCACATAAATTGGAGTGAAAGGAATAGTATATAGCTGACCAGGTCAATGTCTGACATTCCCATATCCATTATCACAATCAAATCTCCCAATCTTTTCAAAGTAGTTTGCTTCTGTTGTGAATCATGCGTTGCACTATGCATTGATTGATTAACGACACAAAGTTCTCAGGTGATGATTGTAGTTGACGAGCTCACCCGTCAAGAGAACACCATCTGACTAATTTCATCCCCCACTCAGGGCGTGTTTGGTACGAAGGAAAATGTTTTTCAATTTTCCCATGTTTGGTTGGCTTAAATGTTTTGGAAAACATTTTCCTTATTAACTTATTTTCCTCCAATTGGAGGAAAATATTTTCCTTATCAAGAGAAAGAAAAACATTTTCCAAAACTCTTCTCAACCTTCCCTACCCTCACCAACCCACCACACCCCCTCACTCCAAAAAAGGTTTTTTTTTTTTTTTTTTTTTTTTTTTTTTTTTTTTTTTCAAATTTCAGTTTTTACGTTACCACTCACCCTACTACCCCTTCACCCCACCCCACCCTACCCACACCCCCACC